AAACAAATCTCAAGGAGAAGGGTACCATGATCCTAATTTTTGGAAAACTCTCCAATAACTTCCCATGGACAATGGGCAGTAAATTGTTAGAGAGGCACAGAGACAAGCACACAATAAAGTAAGGCCCCAAAGTGATGCACGCCTTTAATTCCCACACTCGGGAGACAGAGACAGGCAGAGCTCTGTGAGTTTAAGGCCAGCCTGATCTACAGAGTGAGTTCTAGGGCAGCCAGGGCTACATACAGAGAAACCCTATCCCAAACAAACAAGTAAATAAACAAATAAATAATAAGTAAATAAGGCCCAATGATTAAGAACAGCAGAAAGAGACCAGGTCGCATTTCCAACTCACCAGCTCAGGTGAAGTGATTGCATTCAGTAGGCGCTGCAAGGGGAAGTTAGCAATGGGATGCGCAGCCAAGGAATGCAGCTGACCCTGGAAGTGATCCTCAAAGAGGCGCTGGAGCCTCGCTGGTTCTAATACCAGCAGCACCTGCTCCAAGAGTCTGGAGCTCGTCTGATCCCGGAGAAACAGGAGTAGAGGGCTAGCGGGAAGAAGAGTGAGACGGGGCTGGAGCAATGGCTGTTAGTTAAGACTACTACTGTGCCTGCAGTGAGCCTGGGTCCAGGGGCCCTCTTCTGCCCTCCACTGGCCCCTGCACAAATGTGGTGTACATACATATACACAGGCAAAACACTCAGACAAATGAAATACAAATAAATAATTTTAAAAAAAAGTTGGTTTGGTAGTGGACCGCTTTAATCTCAGCATTCAAGAGGCAGAAGCAGGTGAGCTCAAGGCCAGCCTGGTCTATAAACTGGAATCCAGGTGAGCTGGCACTACATAGAGACCTTGTCACACATAGACGAAGAACAGACTGGGGCTCAGTGGTTAAGAGCACGTTCTGCTCTTGCAGAGGACCCAAGAAGTTCAGTTCCCAGCACCCACAAGGCAGCTTCTAACTATCTACAACTCCAGTTCAAGAAGCTCAGACATACTTTTCCAGTCTCCAAGGGCACTGCACGCATGTGGTACACATATATACATATATAGGCACAACTTCATAAATATAAAATAAAAAGAAATCTCTGTGTAGCTTTGGAGCCTGTCCTGGAACTCACTCTGTAGACCAGACTGGCCTCGAATCAGAGATCCGCCTGCCTCTGCCTCCCAAGTGCTGGGATGAAAGGTGTGTGCCACCACCGCCTGGCCAAAATAAAAGTATATCTTAAAATAAAACTAAGTCAGGCATGGGGAATGTAAGTTTTTAATACCAGTACCTGGGAAGCAGAGGGAGGAGGATCTCTCTGACTTTGAGGCCAGCAGGATTACACAGTGAGTCTGTGCCTCCCGGGTGCTGGGATTAAAGTCATGCACCACTGCCCAGCAGTAACTATTGTTAAGAAGATCAAAGAGTCTAAACTTTATTCGCACAGCTCCACTAACTCCATTCATCTCCCCAGCTGCGGTTACTCCTGACAACCAATCATACCTGCCATCTGCTGAAGAATTACGAGAACTCAGGTAATCAATTATAGCATCACAGAGATGAGCACAATGCTGAGGTAATTTATGGTGTAAGATCTGTAAGGCCACTTGAAGACAAAAGCTGGAGATCTTGCCGGTGATAAACACTGTAGGAGGAGGCAGAAATAATAGCTTGTCCCAAGCCCAGATTACCCATACAATTCACAAAACACAAGTAACAAGGAGGGCTATATACATAAAAATGTCCATACAGAATGCCTTCTAGCATTGAACCAGACAGGCATTAAAGAGGAATGACCTGCAGTGAGGGTCCTGCCTGGGGGAAATCCTCAGAGAAGATTACAGTCTCTTCCTACTTTCCTTCTATGATGGTTAACCCTGACTGATCACTTGATGGGATTTAGAATCATTACAAAACTAACCTCTGGCCAGGCAGTGGTAGGGCACACCTTTAATCCCAGCACTGGGAGGCAGAGGCAGGCGGATCTCGGGAGTTCGAGGTCAGCCTGGTCTACAAGAGCTAGTTCCAGGACAGGCACCAAAGCTACAGAGAAACCCTGTCTCGAAAAACCAAAAAAAAAAAAAACAAAAAACCAACCTCTGGCCATGTCTGTGAGTTTCTAGAGTAGGTTAATTGGAGGGGTGGGAGGGGGCAGAGAGTGGGACAACAACCGCCCAATATGTGGGTAGCACTAGCTGTGGCTGGGGTCCTAGACCGAATAAAAAAGAAAACACAGCTAAGCAAAGAATTTATCTACCTCTGCTTCCTCACTGTGGCTACAGTACAGCTAGCTACAGCCATGATAACAATGGACTAGACCCTTTGGCTGGGAGTCAAACCTCTTCCTTAAGCTATTTTGGTCAGGTATTTGTCTCAGCAACTTGTAAATTAACTAATACATCTTTTTACCTGCAATGTCCTTCAGAAAGCAGGCGCTCAGGTCCTGAAGGTGATTCAAGAAGGTTTTAGGAATCTCAAAATCAGTGCGCTTACATTCCCGAGCTGAGGTCCTTTGTGTTTCTAGAGAAAGATCAAGAGCATGAACAATAGTGAAATTATAAATAGGAAGAACTCCACAGAATAATAATGGCTCAACTTAGAGATGCAGGACAGAGGTAATACAACACAACTCAATGTCTCTTGTGGATGAGTAAAAAATTGTTTTAATTTTTCTAAGGATCTTCAACTTCCTTCCCTATGGTCTAGGGATCATATTTCTCAGTCAGGTATTTAAAGTAATCCAAATTCAGACCTCATTTATACTCTAACCTTATTTTCCAGAATCCTAAAATGTAGGTCATATCCTATGACTGTACCGTGAGACAAAGTTAGTGGTCTCAGTCAGCATATTTTTAATAAAATAGAGAATAAAATTTAAAAGGAAAGAAAATATCAGAAAAACAGAAAAGGTATCTTTTCCTGAACTTTTGTTTGAATTCAACACACACACACACAGAGAGAGACTAAAAACACATCAGGGAAGCCAGGCCATGGTGGTGCATGCCTTTAAGCCCAGCACTTGGGAGGCAGTGGCAGGCGGATCTCTGTGAGTTCAAGGCCACCCTGGTCTACAAGAGCTAGTTCCTGGAGTCGGGCAGTGGTGACCCATGCCTCTAACCCAAGCACTCAGGAGACAACGGCAAAGGGACCTCTGTGAGATTGAGGCCAGCCTGGTTGGCAAAAAGAGTTCCAGGACAGCCAGGGAAACACAGGGAAACCCTATTTCAAAAAAGAAAAAATAAATAAATAAATAAATGTTAAAAGTCAATCTCCTAGGCAGTGTAAAGGTATGCATCCCTGATTCCAGTATTTGAGAGGCTGAAGCAGTGAGTTCCAGACCTTGTCCAAAGGGAAAAAAACAAAACAACAACAACAAAAAAATCAAAACCGAACAGCAAATAGGCAGGCATGGAAGCACAGGTCTGTAACCCCAGCACTCAGAAAGGCAGAAGCAAGCAGGAGAAACAAGCGTTGAAGGCCAGACTCTGCTACATTCCCAAGTCAAAAACCAGCCTAGGTTATACGGGAGACTCTGTCTCAAAATAAAGGGCCAGGAAGGTTGTGGTAAGGGAGACTGCGGCTAAGCCTGACAACCTGAGTTCAATATACAGAACCTGAAGAACCTGAATGGTGGAAGGACAACCGACTTCCCCAAGTTGTCTTCTCCCCTCCAGAAGCACATGTATGTGCAGAAGGCACATAATTTAGTGTGTACACGCGCACATACATATTTTAAAAATTAAAAAAAAATAAATTTCTTACTGAGAGTTGTGGAAATAAAAATGTGAAATCCATTGCTTTAAGTGAATTATCTCCTCGCCCTGTCCCTATGCGAGTAGCTGCTCTCTAAGTATAGGCACACCCTTTCGTCTGTCTAGACACACTGTTCTTTGGCCTTCTAGGCTCTGCCCCACTGTTCCGCTAATTCTTCACGGCCAAACTCCACCTTGAAGATTAACTCTTCTGTTTACTGGCTTCTGAACTCCCGAAACTCTCCTGCTCACCAGGCCCACTTCCTTTTCGTAAAATACTACTTACCAGATGACTGGGAAGCACGAGACCTGGTCCTCTCAGACTCCAGGAGAGTACCTCCTAACACTTGCAGCAGGGTTCTGACCACGAAGCTTCCATGCGTGTCTCCACAGAAGAAAAGAAAATCGTCAGACACTTCAGCGGCTAGTCCCAGGACTAGCTCCTCCAGGGACTGCAGGGGACCATGCTTCCCGTCCTCTTCCTCCTCCTCCTCCTCCGCTTCTGCAGGACTCCTTAGCAACCGAGGCAGCTGCAGCAAAGCACTTTGCAAAACGTGGACTCCACACCGATGACAAGCCACGAAGCGCAACTTGGGGCGCAGAGCAGCCCACACTCGACAGAGAGGTTTCAAAGGACTGAACCCCAAAAGTTCCTGCAGCATTTCGCTACCAGTCCTGTTCGTGGCCAAGGCTAGAGCCTGAGCCTCCACTTCCTTCAAAATATTGCGCACCATCAAGTCTGAAAACACGAGGAAACAGACCGTTAGAGAGACGGAGAGAAGGATAAGGCTTAACCACCACTTAGGCAAGAACTCCCCGGGAATCCCTCTGAAAGTTCTCTGCGTGGGTTTTACAGTTACTTCACGGCGTAGCTGCTCCTACCTCGTTCTTCCGCGGCGTCGGGAGCCTCTTTCAGCGCTGACAGCGCCCGTCGGAAATACCCGAGCGCATCGGGACTCAGGTGCGGGAGAGCTTCTGGGGCCTGCTCCCCACGCGCGGCCGCCCCCGGCGGCCGCGGACACCCATCGCGGCCCGGAGGGGGACGCCCGGAACTCGGGGCCCCGCGCCCCCGTCGGCTGGCACCCGGGAACTGGCGTCGCGCCTTGTGAGCAGAGCGCGGACCCAGCCCCATGCGTGCTCCGGGACCTCGCCTCCTCCACGCTTCCGGGCAGCAGCTCCCACAGCCGCCAGCGTCGCACTGCTGACGCGCGGAGACGTCATCGTTCTGCGACGACACGGGCGAGCAAGGTGGGCGTGTCTATAGGGTGCGGGTTTGCTTTTGCGGATTCCTCTCGCTGGGCCCGACCCGCGATCTCCCGGGCTCCACTCGCTTCGCCTAGTTCTAGCTCATCCGCACCCGCACCGATTTCTGCCCCAGGCACGCACTCTCACCCTGACGTGACCAGAATCAAGGTTCTCGAACTACACGTCCCCCTCCGCCCCCTGGGACGATAAAAGTTCTCGAGCGAACTAGACAGACAGAACCCCAGAGGCAGCGTCTGCGGCAGGTAAGGCTCACAGGCTCTGTCCACTTACGGGTCAGGGCTTCGCGGTTCCCTGTGGAACTGCACCGGTAGCCAGAACTCCAGAGGGAGGGCCCAGGACTCTTCATGGACATAACTTATTGGACAGACTCGCCAGATTCCCCACCAAGTTAGCCCCACTCTGAGGGTCGCGTACGTGTAGCCCCGGAGAGGCTCCACCCAGCCCTGTGCCTGGGTGAAGACAACAGCCTGGCCTGGGACCTGCCCTCAGCTATCCACCTGTGAAATTTCTCTCCCCTCAAAATACTGCAAGCTTAGCAAAGACCTGTCTCTGCAGACAATCTACAGGATTCTTCAAAGCGACTCTTAACTCCACAGATATCCCCGTTTGACGTGAGACATGGTAGCGCCTATGAAGGGCCAAGTGTGTGTGGTAACTGGTGCCTCCAGGGGTATTGGCCGTGGCATTGCCTTACAGCTCTGCAAAGCAGGGGCCACAGTGTACATCACCGGGCGCCATCTGGACACCCTTAAAGCTACTGCCCAGGAGGTGAGTGACCACCTGAATTTCTCATTGTGATTATTACTCATCACTTACTTGATCATGATATCTCCCGAAAAAATTACTAATATTTACAGAGTACATACAGTAAACAATATAGAGTTGAATTTTTATGCCAATAGCACTGGCTACCCTAGAACTCACTGCGTAGATCCAAGCTGGCCTCGAACTCACAGAGATCCACTTACCTCTGCCTCCTGAATTCTAGGATTTAAGGCCAGTGCCACCCCACCCCCCCATGAGAGTTTACTTCTTAACTGGATTTCAATAAAAACAATACTCAAGTGACCAAGTGATAACCAGATAACTTGATAACTTTGTAACCAGAGTTACCAAGTGATCAAACACAATTTTTTTAATTTTATTTATTTATTTATTTATCTTATTTATGAGTGCTCTGTCTGTATGCATGCCTGCAGGCCAGAAGAGGGCATCAGATCCCTTTATAGATGGTTGTGAGTCACCATGTGGGTTCTGGGAATTGAACTCAAGACCTCTGGAAGAGCAGCCAGTGCTCTTATCGGCTGAGCCACCTCTCCAACCCCCCAAACACAATTTTTACTATTACAAGATAGGAGTCTAACAGGAAGTCAGATTTAGAAAACAGTCATTTCAATGTACATGTGCACAGAATGTTTGCTCTAGGGGCACTGGAGGGGCATCTAAATTAAAGGTAGTTAGGTCTTTAGACAGGCTTACCTGGAACTTGCTGTGTCGACCAGAGTACCCCTCAAACTCAGAGATGAAAACCACCCCTGCAAAGGGTTTGGGATTAATGCACCTTTAATCCCAGCACTCAGGAGCCAGAGGCAGAAGTCTCTCTATGAGTTCAAGGTCTTCATAGTGAATTCCAAACCAGCCAGAGCTACACAGTGAGGCCCTGTCTCACACACACGCGCACACACACGCACGCGCACACACGCACACATGCATGCACAGCCAGTATGTTGAACATGTCTATAGCACCCAGCACTGGAGAGGTTGTGTGAGGACTGGGAGTTTAAGGCCAGCTTGAGCTGTGTAGTAAGACCCCATCGAAAAAAACTTCTAGGCTTTCATTGTTTGATTGGTGATCCAGTTAGAAAATTTTTTTAAATGCATGTGCTTTAGCTAATTCATACTGACTGGATTATGAGGATTATGAGGATTTAAGGAAAAAAAAACTGGAGGTCAAAGGAGCATTAAGACTTGCTGCAGTTTGAGCAAAGAAGTGGTAGGTCAGGATGCTGAGCTTGCTTTGGAGAGCAGGTGCTCTTCGGCCTCTAAAGTTGGTGGGGGCACACTTTTGGAAGGCTAGGTAGAACAGGAAGTAGCAATAGTTTATGCCTGATAGCTTTGATTTTTCAGTTACCAAGTCAGAGCATTGGCTGAGTGAGAGAAAGAGCTAAGGCTGGGTAAGAATTCCAAGGGAGTGGTAAAAAGAGGGGCATGAGCGTTGGAAAGGAAAAAAAAATAGTTACTTGTTTCTGAGAGTGGGTGTCATACCTTGTCTCTTACCCTGGAGTGGCAGAGGATTTACCAAGGTCCTGCATAAGGTCCCATCTACCTGGCTCTTTTGCAGGAGGTCCTACTGCAAAATTTCTAAAACGGACACCAGGGGGAGCCATTGCACACCACGTTTTCCCAGCTGTTGGCTGAGTGCTGTGTGTTTACCTTCTCAGTTCCTAAACTAACTTGAGTTAGGGAAAAGACACTGCTCAGAACTCATACTCTGTTCCTCTCCAGGCACAGTCCCTCGGGGGCCGGTGTGTGCCGGTGGTGTGTGATTCAAGCCAGGAGAGTGAAGTGAAAAGCCTATTCGAGCAAGTCGATCGGGAGCAGGAGGGACGGCTAGATGTGCTGGTCAATAATGCCTATGCTGGTGTCCAGGTATCCTGGGAACCTGAAACAACTCGACACCCCAGACCTCCCCAAACCCACCCTGAGTCTTCACCTCCATTTGTTGTCCCACTATTCAGCCCTTTGTCACCTCCTGCCTTCAGATGGCCGAGAGTCACCTTCCCTGTCTTCCTATCTTCTTCTAGGCAATCCTGAACACCCTCAACAAGCCGTTCTGGGAAGCACCTGCCTCCCTCTGGGATGATATAAACAATGTTGGACTCAGGTGTGTGCTTCACTCCCGGAACCAAGGTCCCTCCCCTTTAGGCTGCCCCAGACCCACGGTCTTTGTTTATTTGTTTGTTTGTTTGGTTGGTTGGTTGGTTGGTTTTGTTTTGTTTTTTAGAGACAGGTTTTCCCTGTGTAATAGTTCTGGCTGTCCCGAAACTCACTTTGTAGACCTGTCCGGCCTTGACCTCAAAGTGCTCTGACTGCCTCTCCCTCCCGAGTGCTGAGATTAAAGGCATGGGCCACCACCACCCAATTCAGTTTTTAAAGAAGATCTCAGCCTTGCTCCTCCCTCTGTCTTTGCCCACCCAAGTACAAGTCCCACAAGGGAGTATTCTCTCAGTGTTGCCCGTATTCCGTAGGCTATGGTTTTAGAAATGGTTAAAAGGTTCAAATTGACTAAATGGATGGACTAGTTAATACAGTATTGTTTGATGTTAGGTCGTAGGTGCCTCAGTAGAGAGAGAAGCTTACCGAGATGCTAAGCCTTCATTTTCCAAAGGAACAGAGGGGTACGGCCTTCTTGGAAAAGGATGACACCCACCTAGCTTATTCCATTTACTTTATTCAAACATATACAAGGTTAATTGGAGCTGGGAAAGGTTCCAACTATCAAAGTCATCTCGTTCTTGCTGCCCATGAGAGCAGACAGCCCACACAAATCTCAGTCCCTTTTGACTGTGGCAAGCCATAATCAAAAGTAAGAATTTCAAGTCTGCCAGTACTCCGTTCAGAACGAGGTCAAGCTCTTACATAGCACCAAGTACAGACTCCAGAGAAACAACTCTTCAAGGTTTAAACAGTCTCAAAACAATTTCTCAGCCTCTACTGATCAACCCAAACATAGCAAAGCTTGGCTGAAACATTTCACTCCAAGCCAGACACAAAGGCTTCACTCTTTTGCTTTAAACTGGACATAACGGCTTTTCATAGTGCTACAGTGTGGGGTGTATATGTGCATGTCAGGTCTTCTCTCGGGCATATGTATATTGTGCTTGGTCCTCATTCCTCTCATCCCCGCTGCCCTCTCCGTTCCCCAGCCTCTCCAGTCGGTTCTCTCTTCCCCAGTTAGTCCTACTGTTTCTGTTTCCTCTCTGTTTTGCACCTGCTCAGGCCTCTTCTTCCCTCTTCTCCTCCTTATACCTATAAATACACATGTGTACACATGTGTGGACTCATATATACACACATGTAATTTTAGACCTAGAACCCAAATATGAGAGATAACATGGGATCTTTGTTTCTGAGTCTGCTTGTTTTGCTTAATATGATGGCTTCCAGTGCCTGAAGAGGTGGCGCACGCCTTTAATCCCCGCATTTGGGAGGCAGAGGCAGAGGCAGGTGGATCTGTGAGTTTGAGGCTACCCTAATCTCATATATATATATATATATATAAGTATCAGGACCTCCAGTGCTATACAGAGAGACCCTGTCTCAAAATTAGTAACAATAATAATAATATGTTTTCCACATGTATCCATTTTCCTGCAAATGTCATGGTTTCATTTTTCTTTGCAGCTGTACACAATTCAATTCCATATATGTTCCACATTTTTTATCCACTCATTAGTTGATGGATGTCTGTGTTGGTTCCATTTCCAGACTATTGTGAATAAGTCAGCTCTAGAAATGCAAATATCTCTGTGGTTTGTTGGCCTAGACTCCTACCCACATGTGGGATAGCTGGGCCACAGTTTTGTGAGAAATCCCCACACTGGCTTCCACAGTCACAGCACACAGCACACAGTCACATTCTCACCAGCAGTGTGTAAGGGTTGCTCTCTGCCCACGTCATCACCAGCAGTGTGTAAGGGTTGCTCTCTGCCCACATCATCACCAGCAGTGTGTAAGGGTTCCTCTCTGCCCACGTCATCACCAGCAGTGTGTAAGGGTTCCTCTCTGCCTACGTCATCACCAGCACTTGTGAATTATTTTCTTTTTTTTTAATATTTATTTATTATGAATACAATATTCTGTTTGTATGTCTGCCTCCCGGCCAGAAGAGGGCACCAGACCTCATTACAGATGGTTGTGAGCCACCATGTGGTTGCTGGAAATTGAACTCAGTACCTTTGGAAGAGCAGGCAATGCTCTTAACTGCTGAGCCATCTCTCCAGCCCCGTGAATTACTTTCTTGGTGATAGCCACTCTGCCTAGGATGAGATGGAATCACAAAGCAGTTTTAATTTACGTCCTCCAATGGCTGTAGTTATTTAACATTTCTCTGATATTTATTTTGCAATTTGAATTTCTTCTCTTGAGAACTTTCTGCTTGGGTCATTTGCTCATTTACTGGCTGGCTGGTTTGGTTTTTGTGTGTTGGTTGTTGCTGTTTTGTAACAAGGTCTCATCTGCCCAAAGCTGGCATGAAATTCACTGTGTAACCAAGATGTCCTTGAATTCCCCCTTCTCCTGCCTCAGAGTGCTGAGATTATAGTTTGTCCCATTAACCCAGCTGACCAGATACATGGCCTAATTCGCCCTGAACTATTTTATGTTTATAGTGCAAGATCCCCTTCCATTATGTTTGTCATGTGTAGATCACCCTTTCTCATCTGCCATTAATTGTATCAGTTTTCTCCTTGGAATGGCCTATTCCTAATTCCCCAGGTCCTCACCGGCTACTACACAGTCTCCTATGGTGCTGACAGTAGCTACTGAGGACCCAGGAAGCAACTGAACCAGCATCCACACAATTCATTCCTTCTTCTCTGCCCCCCTTCTAGAGGCCACTACTTGTGTTCTGTGTATGGGGCACGGCTGATGGTACCAGCTGGCAAAGGACTCATCGTGGTTGTCTCCTCCCCCGGGGGGCTGCAGCATATGTTCAATGTCCCTTATGGTGTGGGCAAAGCTGCGGTAAGGACCAGTGCATAGGAGCCAGGGAAACAGACAACAGGGTTGATAGTTGATCTGGTCCCCACTGATCAGAATAGTAAGACTGGTGACCTTCACCTCTCTCTCTGCCCTACCCACTGATAGTCGCTTTGCCTGGGCCTCCCTCCATCTGCCAGAGTAGGTTTCAGATGTGGGAAGAGGAGTACCAGAAACATCAGGGCTCTCAAGAATGATGGGGGCCGGGGATATCCTCGTGGACTGAGGGAGAGCAGAAAAGGAGGGTGAGTTAGGCAGGTGTCCAGGTTCTCATTCTGCCTTCTCTCCCTCCACAGTGTGACAAGTTGGCTGCTGACTGTGCTCACGAGCTACGGCGTCATGGAGTCAGCTACGTTTCTCTGTGGCCAGGGTTTGTGCAAACAGAACTGGTGAAGGAGTTTATAGAAAAACAGGAAGAACCAGAGGATCCTGTGTTTAAGAAGGTTGGCACAGGCCAAGCAGTGGTAGTGCATGCCTTTAATCCCAGAACTCGGGAGGTAGAGGCAGGCGGATCTCTGTGAGTTTAAGGCCAGCCTGACTACAGAGTTAGTTCCACTTCCACAGCAGGCTCCAAAGCTACAGAGAAACCCTGATTCAGAAAGACAAAAAAAAAAGAAAAGAAAAGGCAGTCTCTCCAGACAGTACCAAGTATAAGCATGCCCCATGGTGGCAGGCTATCTATAATTCCAGCACTCAGGAGGCAGAGGCAAAGGGATCTTTGGCCAGCCTGACTAGAGTTCTAGGCCAGCCAGAGCCACACAGTGAGACTCTGGCTAAAAAGAGAAAGAATAAATGTCCCCACTCATCAGGTGCTTACTAGGGCAGACACAGGCTGAGTGAGCATGTGCACACATTATTTCTTCAAATCTTGTAAGGCAGATAGTAACTCCATTTTATAGATAGACGTTAAGAAACCTGATGCTGGTGTAAATGTAGCCCAGTGGTAGAGCGGTTGCTTAGGCACAGGCTCAGCTCCTGGCAATGAGTAATGAAGGAAGGAAGGAAAGAAACATGCTCCGTAGTATGCATCGCCACAGGAAAGGCTGTCTGACGCCAAAGCCCGCATACTTGGCCTTGCCATCATCTGCCCTAGAAGGTCCAGCACTAGTTGTAAAGATCTGACCCTTCCATTAGTAGGAGCAGCGGTCCTGGGTCCAGGGCTCACGTGTACATGGGAAAGGTGGCTCCAGTGTCGTTTAAGACATGACCTTGCAAATCCTGCTTAGGTTTGTGTCCTGGAGAAGGCACAGGCAGTGCTCTTGGAAATTAACCCCTAACTTCTCAACCCATTTTTTAGGCCAAATCAGATTTCTCATCGGCAGAAACCACAGAAATGAGTGGCAAGTGCGTGGTGGCCTTGGCAACAGGTGACGACATTGGGGTGACAAAGTTCATCTACAGGGCACTGACAGCCAGCTCCTTATTTTGGTTTGGGAGGTGATTGGATGCTCTTGTCAGGATTCCTGGTTTGAGGTGTGAGGTCTTTGAACTAGCTGCAGGGAGGCGTGGCCGAGCCTTTGCCTGAGCCCTGTCCCATTCAGCCAAACTCTGTCAGTGCACACCTCCCAGCGCCCACATTCCTAAGCGTATGTGTGCCCACAGACCCCCATATCCTGGACTTGAGCGGGAAGGTGCTGCCATCCTGTGACCTTGCCCGGCGCTATGGCCTTCGGGATGTAGATGGTAAGCAGTCACTCTGGGCCAGCCTTACCTGATGAACCAGACCATTACCCCTTGCCCACAAGTTGTCACCTGGTGCTGTGGTGTCTCAGGAGCTGGAAATAGGGGTCTAATTGTCTTTCTGTTGATCCCAGGCCGCCCTGTCAAAGACTATTTTTCTTTGAGCTACATCCTCTCGCATGTCTCCAGCCTGGGATGGCTGACCTCCTACCTGCCTGGCTTCCTCCGTGTGCCCAAGTGGATTGTCACCCTTTACACCAGCAAATTCTAAGCTCCTGGCCTGCTGTCCCAGCCAACCAGGTCCTCTTGTCACCGAGGCTCAGGTGTTGGGGCTGTCTCAGTGAAACAAGGTAGTACTCTCACGCACCCATGTCCTCCTGGGAGAGAGGACAGATGCCGGGCACCTAGTGAGTTCTGGGGGCTCCAATAGACTCTTTGTGCCTTCGTCTTCCCTGTCCCTACAGTACTGAAAAGTCCTTATAAACAGAAGCTAATAAAGGTCTTACCTCCCCTTCAGTGTGTTTGTGAGCTCTGATTCTGCGTTAAAACAAAGTGGTAGATATTTGAGGAAAGAGTCAACGATGTAAAAATGTGTAGCTTCTCAGGCTGAGATGATTCAGTAGACACAGCTCTTGCTGAGCAAGCATGAAGACCAGAGTTCAAATCCCAGAACCGTTTAAAACTGGATGCAGTGGCAGCATGCCTGTATGGAATAGGAGACCCAGGTGGAAGAATCCTGGATGCTCTCCGCCGCCTAGCCTGGTGTTCACAATGGTGAACAGCTAAAGACCTTGCCTAAACAAGGTAGAAGGTGAGCACCAGTAGCCAGGATTGACCCACACATGGAGAGTGTACCCAAATTCATATGCACATGTGTAAACACAACAGGTCCTTTAATCCCAGCACTGGGAAAACAACCAGGAAGATCCCTGAATTCCAGCCAGTCTGGTCTACAGAGTGAGTTCAAGGATAGCTAGGGCTACACAATGAAGTTCTGTCTCAAAAAAAAATAAAAAATTTAAAAGTAGGGTCAGGCATGGTGCATGGCACACACTTTTAATCCTAGCACTCAAGAGGCAGAGATGGGCGAATCTCAGTTTTGAAGCCAGTCTTTCTATGTAGAGTTCCAGGCCTGCCAGGCTTACACAGTGAGATCCTGTCTCAAAAAATAAAAATCAAACGTATAGGTACTAAAAGGGCTCCAGCCCCCCTCTTTCCTTCAGAACTGCTCCTGCCTTTTCTCATGCTAGGGGCAGGGTCTCTCTCCAAGCAGGACACCCTGGTCTCTGTTTTCAGCATCTTTCCACCAATAGCTGCTGCTTTCTGCTGGGCTGTCTCTGCCCAGCACAGGCAGACCTCTTGCTGTCTTTAACTTCCTGGGCCTAGAAGAGAAGGTGCTTCCTGATTCCAGGTAAGAGACAGAAGCACTATCAGGCGCTGGCACACTCACCCTTCCTCTTGGGACTGTGTCACCAGAATGAGTCGCCTTCTGGAGAACTGACTGCCTGAACCAATCAGGCCCGCCTCCCAGAGCAAAGCTTTTCCAGGAGGCCAAGGGCAGTTCTCCAAGAGTGACAGGTGTCAGTGGTGAAAGCACACTGAAGGGGGTATCAGGCCCGAGACAAGAGCACCCAGTGCATGCGGGCAAACACTGGCACTGTCAGCTCCAGGAAAATTGGCATGATCAGACGTGGTAGAGAGGAGCTCACCGGAGCTGAGGTGTGGGCAGAGGAAGAAGAGGTTGTAAGCAAAAGATGCTGGCCCAGCGTCAGTCTCACCAGGAATCTGACAATAATACAGGTGAGGGCTGAGAGCTTACAGGAGGCAGTGTCCACAGACGGGACCTGAGTCAGAACAAGACTGCCACTGCGTGTCTCCCTGGCATGGGGGACACCAGCAGCAGGCACAGAGTAAGAATTTTTTTGAGAAGCCATCTTGTCTGAGGTTAGCCCTGGCAGGTCACCAGGGGGCTAGTTGAGATTCAGCCTACCCTTACTATAAAGATAGACGATGGAGCCCAAAGAGGATTGGAGGGAGACTTGATTGTCAGGCAATATTCATGGCCCAGAATTCAAAAGCTTTTGAAGAACGTACAGTGGAAAGTCTAACCCTGTCCCATAAGTGCCCTGTGCCCAGTCCAGGTCGCTAGGTACCAGCCCTAGACTCAGACCCCACCCCTCCATTCCTTCTGGGTATTTAGGCTGTCACCAGCAGGATGTGGAAGAATGTGAAGACTTAAAGAAAGAGCAATGGGGTTCTGTGACAACCTAAAGAGATCTGCCAGGCCTTGTCCTGGTCTCCTGACCAGTCAGCTCACATGGATGTGTGTCACAGCTACAGCTGATAGCCATAAATTAGGGGTCTCAAACACTGGCAATGAAGTACTCGAGATGGTTCAGCCATTATGAGCACTTCCTACTCTTGCTGAGAACCTGGGTTCAGTTCCCAACACCCACATGGAGGCTCACAGTCATTCATAGCTCCAGTTCTAGGGGATCTGGTGCCCTCTTCCAAACTCCTCAGGCAGCAGGTATCCTTGTGGCATACATCCAAACATTCAGTCAAAACATTCATACAGCCACATAAAAATAAACCTAAAAATAACAAGGAATGTCAAGGGGTTTTGTCGCAAGCTCTAACCAATAGCCCCATCCCAAAGGCTGGGCTAAAGAATCTGATAGCTTTTTTTTTTCTCTTGTTTGTTTTTTTTAAATTTGAAGGGTGTGGTATATGCCATTATGTCTGAGGACATATGTTATGTGTGTGCATGTGGAAGCCAGAGGAAATCCTCTGGTGTTGCTCAGAAGCCATCCACCTTGTTCCCTGAGTCAGGGTCTCCTGCTAGGATCTGGGTCTCACCTATTAAGTGATGCTGTTGGCTAGCTCTAGAGACACCCACTCCCACCCCCACCCCCGTCTCATCTCTGCAGCACCAGGGTTGTGAGTACAGCCACTCCTGGTTCTTTACTTCGGTGCTACGGATTGAGCATGGGTACTCACGCTTACATAGCAAGCACATTATGAACCTGAGCCTGAGAGTCCAGTTTGGGGGACATGTCATTGGTCACCCAGTTCCATCAACTGCTGAAGGCCTCCTTGGGCCCAGGAGTAAGAATGGAGATCCCTGGTAGCTAAGGGAAGTGATGAAGTCATGTTAGTGGTGGGGGTGAGGTCTTGGACATGAAGCAAGACAGTCATGAAAGCCTCACAGGAGCCTGATCAGGCAAGATGGCTGAGACCAAAACTGCCTTTCCCCCTTTCTTATCCTGGATCCTGCCCATCCTAGATACTAAAGACCTTGACACCACCTTTGATGTATCATGTGGGATACGTGGTCCTCTCGAAGGGTTCTCAGGTCCTTGAGACACGCTCCTGCTTAGACGAGACACATCCTTCTAGCTGCTAGCCCTTTGTAGCGAGTGGCCTAAGGAGAGGTCCAGGGCTGTTATCAGTACAGGCTGGAACACAAAGCAAGCTTCCAGGCAGCACTGAGATTTCTCAAGAAGGCACTTCAAGGATGGCAGGGACCACCCTAGGGAGATGCTATGTATATGTATACAGCCATTATGCTAGACTTTGTTAAGTGTCTTAGTGAAGGGATATGAACAGTCTGGTTAGTTTTATCAACTTGACACAGACTGAAAAGAGGGAACCTTAACTGAGATATTGCCTCCATCACTTTGGCTTATGAGCCTGTCGTGGGCCCTTTTCTTGATCTATGTCTGATGTGGGAATGCCCATACCACGGTGGACGGTGCCACTCCTGGGCAGGTGGTGCTGGGTTGTACAATAAGCAAGCTGAGCAAGTCATGAAAAACAAACAGTAAAGCCCAGCACTCAGGAGGCAGAGAGAGGCAGATCTCTGTGAGTCTGAGGCCAGCCTGGTCTCCAAAGTTAGTTCCAGGACAGACATGACTGTTACACAGAGAAATCCTGTCTTGAAATAAAAATAAATATTAAATAAAGCAAGCAGTAATCAGTCTTCTCCCTCATCAATCTCTGCTTCAGTTTCCGTCTCCAAGTTCCTGCCTCAGCCTCCCTGAATGATGAGCAGGAGATAGAAGTGCATGCTCAAATAAACCCTTTCCTCCTCAAGGTGCTTTTGGTCATGGCGTTTATCACAGCAACAGAAAGCAAACCAGGAGAAAGAGAGAGCTCTCTTGGGCCAAGAGGCCTGCAGTTCTCCGTGGGCTGCTGCTGTATACTGCCCTCATCCCAGGGACTTCGCAAGGACCTGGTATGGGAGATGAGCAGGTTTCCCCAGCCAGGGTTGAGCTATAGGCTCAGCTCAGAACTATGCCGAGGAGTCACAGGTCACCTGCACTGTCAGGAGTGGAGAGGAACTGGAAACCACCTGCACTTCACTTGATAATAGAGAAATCAGAAGACTTTCCTTGGACCTGAAAGGAATGCTGGGAAAAAGGCAGAGGGAAGAAATGGGGCAACTTCACGTAATCTCCATCAACAAGTGAGGAGGTCTTGGCATTCCTCCTGATGGAAGAAAGAAGCAAGCAGAAGTGGACATGACCTGAGCACCCCTCAAGGGGTTCATGCCTGAGGGTGCACAGGGGACTCGGCCTGGATTTTACCATCACTTCAGCACAAAGGAACAGCCATGGTTTATTAGGCACTTGCAGTGACTACCTAGATCTCACCCCAGCTTCTCACCTGCCCTGGGAAGCAAGTATTTCTTTACAGTAAAAGAAGCCACCGCTTAGAAAAGTTGAGTGACTGGGCCAAAACTTGCAGTTCTTTGCAAGAGAAGAGTCCAGATACAACCAAAATGTGTGATCCCGGAATGGAAGCTCTTTCCCCTGCACCGACTGCCCTGCTGTTTAGCTTCCTGTTTGGCTTGGGCTCTGGAGAACTTTTCCGTTTCCTGCAGAGGGTGTGTTGAGGTTGGTAGCCTGCTGAACTTTCAGGTCAAATTCAGTCTCGACTTTCTCTAAGTTCCTCGACACTTTCTTCCCCCAGACCTTTGCTTGAGCAAGTCTGGTCTCTGCAGTACCTCTCACTCCCAGCCCCTAGCCCCCCAGTTCCTCCAGCCCCCAGGATCCCTATCCCCAAGCCCTCAGCTACCCCCCCTCCCCGGCCAGGATCCCAGCCCAGATCCCAGACCCATTTCTGCCTGCCAGAATTCATCCCATAAAGTCTATCTCAACCTTCTAGAAGCTTCTGGTTTTTTCTGACCTTGCTTTTGTCTTTTTCTGGGGAACGTTTTCCTGTGGCATTCACTTGGGTCTTGACTAGTATGAGAGACATAGATGTCCTTATCCATTTCCTATGTGAAACTGAGAAACACTACCCAAGCCATCGCTGAGTTTTGGGATTCTTGTCCCTATTTCCCCTGTGGCCATCTTCCACACACACAGAAGTATACATCCTGAAGCACAGAACTGAAGAGCGCCAAGCCACCCAGAGTGTGGCTAAATTCACAGGGCCAGGGAGACCCACTGATGAGAGCCCCTTCTTCCCTCTCCGGGAGGCAGATGATAGCCACTCCCAGGTACTAGCCT